TGACACAGCGCAGAACCCCCTGCGACCACATGTTCGCAGGAAGGGGCAGTATTGCTGCTCAGGCAATGTATACGCCCGAAGGTATAAATAAGAGTCCCCAGGCTCCATGGTCACCCTCCCTAGGCACTGTGAATTTCGACGAGGGGTTTACCCTCTGACTATTCCTTTTTTTTCTTTTTCTTTTTCTTTTTCTTTTTCTTTCTTTTTTTCTGAGATATAAGCGACATGTAATAGTACGTTAATTTCAGGTATGCAACGTAACAATTCGGCATTTGTATATATGTTTTGCAAACCTGCTAACAGTTCTTGTTTGCCTTTCCTTTTCTTAGATTTCCTAAGGCCCCCAGGTGTGACCAGACACTGCTGGGACGTCCATGGTGCCCACTTCCAGGGGTATTCTCTCCCTCATTATGAAGAATGGCCTAAAGGGCACTGTCCTGGATCTACTGCGTCAGGCCCACGACCCGCCCAGCAGCAGTTCTACTCCCACGCGGGGCCCTGACGTGCGTGCCGTGGGAAGGCCTGGTGAGCCGTGGGGGTTAAGTGCCGCAGTCTCATCAAGAATTATTTCACACACCCTAACTTTACATTGAGAGCCCATCGTGATCCTGTCAGCTGTACTTATGTGTGTGTGTGTGTGTGTGTGTATGCATTTCTTGAACATAGTTCTTTTAAAAATTATGAAAAAACTTTAATAATATATGTTATAAACATTTGGAAAATAGGAGAAAGACAGAAAAATCTCCTACCTTACCACTTTAATATAACCATTGACAGTATTTTTTTTAAATGCAGGTATGACAAGTACAATGTACACGAACGGTGAGTGCTGAGCTCTGAGGATTTTTATGTCCTGCACATCTACAATGTTGCCACCACCCAGATAAAAATGTAGGAACATTCCCAGCACCCCGGTGCGCTCCCTGGTGTCCCTCTCAGGAGACCCTCCCTCCAAAGGCAACTACGATTCTGACCTCCCTCATCATGGGTTAATTTTGCTTATTTTTGAACTTCCTATAAATGGAACCACATAACATGCACAGTTTGATGTCTTTTCTCAAAAACATGATACATCTATGTGTCTCCCAGCAGTTTGTTTTCATGGATGCATAGGAGGACCCCATCTTCTTCCTTCCCTTCACTCTGATGGGGTGGAACGTGGTGGAATAGTGGGGACAATGGATGCTGCAGAGCCTGGCAGAAGGGGCCTCACTGTCACACCCTGGCTCGGCTCCTGAAATGCTTTCCACCCGTCTGTGCTATTTCTTTACTGAGGCTCATACCCGAGGCAATGGGTGGGGGGGGCAGCGGGTGGAGTCCACACAGGGCTCCTTCCCAGGCAGTGAGGCTAGGGCACAGGACATAGGACCCCCTCTTGTCTTTGTTCCACCCGTGTGTGCTAGCTGCTCCCCACAGCCCTGCACCCCACTGGTGATAGACCCAGGCAGCAAATGCCCATGAGAAGGAGGGGGGGTACACGTAGCTCCTCCTACAGCCCTCGCTCTGTTGGCAGGGGGACAATTCGGGCAGCTGGGGACACTGCGGAGGGAAGGCGAGGAGCCCTCGGGCTCCAAGTGTCCACAAGGGTGAAGTGTGGGGAGGACCATGATTGTTGTCCCATCTGCTCTGTTGCTCCAGACTGTGTCCCCGCCGTCTCTCCCTGTGTCCTCCGCTGACAGGGGCCGGGAGATGGGGGGCTGCTGGCTATGGTCTGTTGCTAGCAGCTCAGAGGCTCCCTTGCTCTGGGGCTTTGCATCTGGTGAGTTTTCACTGAGGAGACGCAAAGGGGACCTTCCTTGGCCGGAGGGACTGGAGCACAGGCCAGCGGTAGGACAGATTTTTGCCCTGTCCTGTGCCCTAGGTTTCTCTACTGTGGACTCCTTCTCTCTCTTCCTCAGTTCCTCAGGGAAGAGGGAAGGACCAAGCGTTTGGCTACCTCGGCTAAAGAGAAGCGTCTTCGGGGGCTGCTGAGAAAGGGACCGAGACAGCACAGGCCTGTGGTGCTACTTAGCGGAGAAAGTGTCCCAGGGCTCGCTGCTGGGGCAACGGGGCTCCTAACGGCAAGTCAATCCAGTTTATGAAAATCCAGGATTCACTTTCAACATAAAAAAATGTGACAGAGAGAAAGGGAGAGTCACAGGTTACTTCATAACATTGATTTCAATTTATTTCATTAACGAAGGCATTTCTTTTACGGGCCTTTAAACACGTGTGCTCTCAGCCTACATTTTAAGTCATCTGATTTAGTTAGGGATTTACAAACATCCCTCCCCCCCCGCCACCCATGAAGGTGAAAAAGATGGAACTTATTATAAGGAAACCTATAAAAGAACTGGATCACTTTCCAAAAGAGCAATACAGATATACTTGGTTTTATATATTATTCTTATTGTCATTTAATTTTTTAAGGCAATGATATTGTGTTTATATGACTAGAACTGGATACAGGGGTTCAGCAAGCTGGCTAGATACATAATATCCAAAAGCTATTCATTAGAAATAACTAAATAGAAAATAAAGTAGAAAAAAGATCTCATTGAAGAAAAACCTCATAAGACCTTTATGGGGAAAAGCGAAAAACTTTTACCAAGGACTGTGCCAGGAGATCCCCTGGGAGGGGACTCTTCTGAGCTAGGGGCTCAGAGGCAATCCCTGCCGTGTGACCAAGGGGGCGGGCATTGGTACAGAATGACGAACAAGTCACTGTTGTTTTGGCATGCAACTGAGAGGTCCCTGACCAATGGGACACTCAAATTTCTGAGAATTAAGACATGATCTAATGATTAAAAAAGAAAAAGGTGCTGGAGAAGGCGGTGATAGAGTCACCCGGGGACAGGACCCAGACTGGACACCAGTAGGTGGACAGCAGATGGAAATACAGATAGCGTCAGGCTGACGTCACTGGTTAGCAGGACCTCAGAATAGCCCAGGGCTCTGCCAAACGGCAGGGACAGCTGGCTTGGAAGCAGCACTGCGGGGCAGCACAGCCAATGACCCACCCGGACCTGAGGTCATGGGACAAGACGGGGACAAGGCTTATCCGTGAGACATACTGATGACATCCTCGTGTATAAGGAGCTTATACCCTAAAGAATTTGTAATGGTTTCCCTTGTATCACTTGTTCCCATTCGCCTCGCCTTCCAGACCTGCCCCCACGAGCCTCCTTATTGGTTTGTGTGAATTCACAGAATTTGGGAAGCTGGGTATTTTTATAATAAAGTGTGTGTGTGTGTGTGTGTGTGTGTGTACACATACACCTATGTAGGTGTATGAACGAACACACACAGAGCGGGGAGGCGGCAGGACGAGGGCTGGGTGGGTGCAGGGTTGAAGCGGTGTTTGTCAGCAGCAGCGCTCTCAGCTCTTGGGGCCAGATGAGCCTTCGCCACGTGCACTGTCCTGTGCGCTGGAGGGTGCTAGAAGCATCTTTACCTTTGCCCACTAGACGCCGGTGGCACCCCCTCCCCGGCCATGACAACTAATCAGGTCTCCAGATATTGCCAATGTCCCCTGGGGATGAAACTGTCCCCTGTTGAGAACCAATAGGTTAGGGGTGTGTGAGTGGGAAAAGACGGAGAACAGGGCGTCATTCAGAGAAACTGGCACAACTTTGGTCTCTCAGGCTGTCTCCGATGGCATTCCCTTAGGCTCCTCTGAACTTTCGCACACGCTCAGCGGTTTGTAATAGCTACTTTCCACTGGCTCATTTCCCCGAGCCGGCCACGGAGGGGACGTTAATGGCAACGCTGCTCTTTGACTGGGGAGGGGCTGGTGGTGGGAGAGGAGAGGAGTCGCCTGCCCCCTTCTGAGACTGGACTGCTCGCTCTTCCTCAGCCCCATATTCTCCACTTAAACACACGGTCCTTCAAAGGAGCATGAACCTTCCTGAGGGTTCCACTCCAGTGTATCCGAAGGTTTAAAATACATCATCAGCACTCTCTTTATTCAAGGGAAGGACTATCTGGTATATCATTTATTAATATCAAGACTAAGTTCAGCAGTTTTGCTCCTTGGACATTTATCTCAGGGTGAGTTATGAACATCACTCATCACACAAATTAAACTGGTTTTCAAAATATTAAAAAAAATACAAGACAACAAAAAATAACTCAACTTAAAAAATGGGAAAAGGACTTACACATACATATGTATATACATACATATGTACATACGTACATATTTGTCAAAAAAAAAAAGATATACAAGTGGCCAATAAGCACAGAAAGAGATGCTCAAATCACTGTGATTAGGGAACAACAACTCAAAACTGCAATGACATCAGCACACAGCCGTTAGGATGGCTGCTATAAAAATAGAAAGTAGCAAGAACTGGCGAGGATGTGGAAAAACTGAAACCCTTGTGCACTGCTGATGGGAGTGTAACACGGTACAGCTACTGTGGAAAACAGTATGGCAATTCCTAGAAATATTAAAAATAGAATCACTGTATTTATCCAGCCATTCCACTTGTGGAAATAAACCTCAAAGAGCTGAAAGCAAGCCATGGACAGGTACCTGCACACCACGTTTGCAGCAGCATTATTCACAGTAGCCAAGGTGGCAGCGACCTAGATGTCCACTGACAATGAATAAATAAAATGTGGCAGACACATATAACGGAATATTATTCAGCCTCAAAAAAAGGAAATTCTGATACCTGCTACAACATAGATGAACCTTGAGGACATTACGCTAAGTGAAATAAGCCGGTCACAAGAAGACAAATACTGTTGATTCCACACATGAGGAGTCTGGAGTACTCAGACTGACGGAGAGAAAGTAGGCTGGTGGTTGCCATGGGCCGCAGGGAAGGGGGAATGGGGAGTTACTGTTTTGTAGCTGCACAATTTCAGTTTTGTGATGATGGTCGCACAACAACGTGAGAGCACTTAATGCCACTAAACTGTACACCTAAAAATGGTGAAGATAATAAATTTTATGTGTATTTTACCACAATGAAATTTTTTAAAAATACAAGAAATGACAGGAAAGGATCAGCTGAGTTTAAGGCAATATTTATTCAATTTCCCTGTGATCACGTCTCCTAAGGCGTAAGGGGTGCTTCTTTGGAAAGGATACAGTTCCTCTGAAGGCCTTCTGTAGTTGGATTTTCGTTCAGAAATGCATCACAGTTGATGTGAATCTGTGGGCACTTATTCTGACACAAGCTCTTAATCACGAGGCGAACTCCTCTGCCTTACTGTCCTTGGTGAAACTCACGTCACTTCCAGTGGCAGCCTCTCCTGCAGCTGCTCTCAAGGTCCCTGGGTCACCCTGGCCTGGCCAAGCACAGTCAGAGTGGCCGTGGCGGGCTCCGCGCTCTCAGGCTGTCCTCTCAATGATGACTGCGATGCCTTGGCCTCCTCCAATGCAAGCCGATCCAACGGCGTATTTCCCGCCCCGGCGCCTAGGGAAGAACGCAGTGGCTGAAATCTACTCAATCTACTGAATTAAACAGATAATTAATTAAGTAGAATTACGAATGGTTACACTTGTATTATTTGTTTGCATTCAGCTCCTGGTCTCAGTATTTTCCTCAATCCTCATTATTAGTTTACAGTCATAACAGGGGAAAGAATTAGGAAAGCTGAATATTTCTATTAAAAAAAAAGTAGTGATGGAGAGCTGAGGACATGGGTGTCCCATCCACAGGATGGGGCTGGTTACAATTGTGAAATATAAGGCCTACTTCACGGGATACCAAGTGAAATTTAGAAGTTGGAGAGAGAGTAAAACCGGTCACTAAGCTCATAGACACTGGTAATCCAGGTTAAAAATAAGCACAACACGCCCAAATACAGGATGACAGCGGTGTCACCTGCCTGACTGCTTCTGTCCGCACAGGAGGAGATAACGATAGTCCGGGGCCTCCCGCAGTGCGGTGTGAAGGCCGGCCTGGCAAATCAGGCTGCGGCGTGCCGTGCTGGCCCGCAGCTGGCCCGCAGGCTCCTTGGCTGGTCGGGCCTGGACAAGGTCTAAGAAGACCAAGAGGAGGGGACTGGAGGGGAGTACAACGCAGAAAGCATTGATGGTCAGCCTGGTGCCTTCGCAGCCCTGCTGCGACTTGGATGCAGGGCCTGGCTGAACTACTCCTGGGAATAAACTTTTTGGGCCCTGTTTGAAGGGCGCTGTGGATGGAGGCTTGTCTAACCCTCACCATTCCAAGTGATTCCTGGGGCATGATTCGGAAAGCCAGGAATTCAATGCAGAAGTGCATCAGAAGCACGTCATGGGTCAGAACACTGCGGATTATATGCATTACCCAACGAAGATGAAGAGGCTTACAAGAAACAATTCTCTTAATACACAAAGAACAACATAACTCCAGACATGATGGAGGAGACATACAGGAACGCTCATGCTGCATTATGAGAGACTCTATTCTAGAGGACAGGCCGAAGGAAGGAGTTAAGAGGAAGAGGCGGAACGTCCTAAAATGTCTCTTGCCCAGAAGAAAAATCAGGTCACTTAGAAGAAGGAAAGCATCCTCAGAGCTCAGGAATGGGCTGCTGAGAGCTAGTAAACCAAACCATAGTTTTCTGTGGGGAGTTTTCAGATAAAGATAATAGTAAACTCACTGACCAAGCCAAACAAACAAACAAACAAACAAAGCAAAGCCTCGCTATGCTGTACAAAAGGAGTAGGGATAGGTGGTAACTGAGATAAACGGGAAGTTGAGAAGGGGGAGTAAACTTTCAGCCCTTTTGATTTATGCGTTTTATATTTTTATGGCACCTCAGAAGTTTTTCCTCAGGAAAGGCAGATAATTTAGAAACATTTCATGTCCCTTTCATAAAAGTTAGACTCCTTTAAAGTGCCATCTGTTTCCATTCCTCAGTCTCGACAGAATGACCTTGAGAGAACCGTCAGGAATTATTTTTGTGCACGTCACTCACTCATTTCAACTCCGTGAATCACCAAGTGAAATAAGAGTCCTATTTACCTTAACCTAACAGGGAGCCAGCGTGAGTCTCCAGCCTGACATATTTGGTTTCATTTGCAATTTTTCTACTAACAGGGCAAAATGGTCCAAAAGATGCAGGAGCAGAGGGAGAAGCTCTACTATCAAAATGGAAAAGTATCAGACACCCAGAAGGCTCCTCCTGGGACCCTGGAAACAGGGAAGGGAAAACTCAGCTCAGATACAAATCATCAGTTTGCTTAGGTTTCTTAGAAGACAGCATCCAGGTAAGAAGCCTCTCAGTATTTTCTCTGTTTTCTTAAATAATCTTATCTTAGGCACGCTGGTCCCCCAGGGAACACACAGCCAACACAGGACCAGCGCGCACCCCCAGGGCAGGGCCGCGAACAGGCCGGCGGACTCATCCACAGGAAGTCAGCTGCCAAGGGGAGCCCCAGGGGCTGGTTCCTGGTGAGAAGCAGCGCAAGGGTGATCCGAGGAAGAAGGAAAAAAATGTTGCATTGTTCAGGAGAAACCTAAATCCATGCATGTCTACAAAAGAGGCAAATCTGAACTGCAACAATTTCTAGCAAGTACCTTAATTCATGAACCAGGTGTGCGGTGATTCTTGATCCAGATGCTCCCAGTGGGTGACCCAAAGCAATGGCTCCTCCATTCACATTGGTTTTACTTGGATCAAGATCCAAACCCTTCTGAACAGCCAAGTACTGGGGAGCAAAAGCTTCATTCACCTTCAAAACAATGGAAACACTGATAAAAATCTTTATTCACAAACTGATTTTTAACTGAGAATTGTTCGGTGTCATTGATAGCTAGTTTTGCTGCTTTTCCCCCCCTATTTAAATTACCTCACAAGGTTATTTTATCTTTAGTGGTTCTCTGTAAAAAAGGTCAGGTGTGAAAATGGCATGCTAGGTCAAAGGCATCCTTTAGAGAAAAGAAGTCCTCAGTACTACTGTGCACGAACACTAGATGCCGTGGGAGACTGCAGAGCCCACGGGTTCTGGGGCTGGATGGGCGGTTCAAATCTTGGCTGCACCCATCTTCTTTTGCCCTCTCGTCGACTTCTAAATTTCAGGGGCTGGGGGGAGGACAAGACAGTTCTAGATTTGGCACCAGATATTGTTTTTCTATTAGGCCAAGTCTTTATTTGTGTTTTTTCACTTTAATTCATAAAAGAGGGTTAAAGTTACTTATTTCTCCCCCACTTTATATAGAAATCATTTCAGTTCAGCAAGCACATTTATAGTCTAAAATGTAATAGAGTGTTATCAGGTCCTAAGATTTTTCTAGGAATTTATACTTTAGTAGGAGAAATCAGCCTGTTTTAATTATTCAAATATAAAGAAAACATTTTAATCAAGTACAGAAAAGTGCCAACGTAAGTCATGTAATGAAAGTAGTAATTTTTTAGATGTGCATCATTTGGAAAGGCTAACAGTATTAAAATGAAAAGAGCTATAGAATACCAGCCTGAAGCCACTTATGCTGTAGGAGCTGGGGGTTTACTCATGTTGTAAAAACGTAGAACACTTACCTCTACCAAATCCATGTCCTTAAGGCTCAGTCCTGTTTTCTTCAGTGCCCCATTGATAGCGGGGACAGGACCTATATTAGAACAAAAATCGGTGCCATCTCATATTTATATATGTATCAAACTTTTCCATCTTTACTAAACAGGTAAAAAATGGGACAGTTGTTAGTAGCTACAAATCTTTCTACCTTGACAGCACACTGTTAGATGATGTGACAATAAAGAAACAAAAAATGAGACTGTGGGGAACAGCCGTTTCTGCAGTCAAACTGTAGATGACAAACTCACATGAGAAGTTCTTCCATGAATGGCTTTAATTAAGAGCTCCAACAACCAAAGGAGTCATGTATGGGATTCTGCAGTCATTTTTAGATCATACTTAATATCTAAAGCAGACTGAGTGCTCTCCTGGGATACAGACCACATTCATTCTTAGTATAGAAGTGATCATGCTCACACTCTGAATTTTCAGGCCCATTTGGGCAATGAGAAGAAATAGCAGCAGCCTCTCCATACAGGCCTAGCAGGGGAGGAAGCTGCGAGGTGCTGCAGGAAACACGGGTCTGAAGCATGGAGACATTTACAACTCCAACAGGAGGCAGAGAGTTTAAATAAAACATAAGCACCACTGAAGAACTATAAATCCACACAATAAAACTTTAGCTCCCAGATTTCTGATGATTACCAATGACAGTTTAACTTCAAAATAAATTCATTTTCCCCCCAAAAGGCAAAGAATATGACCAGGGATGAGTATCTACTTCTCTATCTATTCCAAAAGAATAAAATTGCCATATATGTCTAAAAAGAAAAATATGTAGTATGTTCTGTGGGATTCCAGTGGTCAAATATTCTGCAACAAGCTTCACAAATACAGCCAAGGTAAAATGGGAAATTAGTCTTTTATAAGAAAAGCATAATGCAATCTAAATGTAATTGATTTTGTCACCTAATTAAAATGCTTTTTAGACAACAGTCTGCAAATTGGTAGGGCCATGCTTTTCAATGTAAAGCACCAGTTCTGCACTGGCTACTGATTTAATACGGAATCTAATTCCAGATTCTCTTTGTATCTCTAAGGGATGAAAATGGGATGGGTAGTCAACTGTAGAGCATCAGCTACCCAGCATGGTCAGGGGAGGAAGTATCCTACTGACCAGGGGAAAGATACATAGAACGAGAGGGAGTAAAATCATTGTACACACCTCCCCTTAACCATTGTATCCACTTTCTGAGAGAGGTGCATAACCACAGTAAGTATGACTTTGTGTGTTCATGTGAACTCAGAATTGTTCCGGGCAATTGTAACAATATATTAGGCCACACTTGATTTCTAAAGGACTGTTCTCATACCTCTCTGCTCTTTACTGGGACTCCAGAAGGTGTAACATTCTTGTGGTGAAGAGAAGGCTTTATCTCTAGTCTTGGCTTCAACCTGGAACAGCCGTGTGACCTTGGTCACCTTTTCAGGCTATAAGCTTCCCATTAGAAGTGCTTTGAATTGGTTTTTAACCTTTTTCTTTATAAGCATCCTAAATCCTTTCTACCAATAAAGTCCAATAACAGATAGTTACAGCCACTCTGGCTGAAGGGGCCCAGAGTTCTGCCCAGCAACTGCCACCACTGCCGTCCCAGGGGTGGGGTGAGGGGAGTTCCAGGGCACGCCCTTCGCTAACAGTGTCCTTCGTCGGAGCTGTTCCTGTCCCTTTGAGTGCTGGCTTTCCTCCTTTTTCTGGGTCTGCGGCTACACTGCAGGGCTAAGGGCCACTATGTGTTGAATAACCGTGTAACTGAGGAACAGCTATTCTTAGAAATTAGATTGACGAATCCATCCCATCAGCTACTCAGTTATCTATTCTCCCTGCTACTCATCCCGTGTTCTTCATGCTGGTACCTTGTCTATTCCTGCATAACTGAGAGATGTGCTGTCTAGACGAAGGACACATTTGACACTGTGACAGTTGGCATACACATACAGCTTTAGCCAAGCCCAGAGGCAAAAAACAATCCCTCCGCAATGCATGCATTGTACTAGGGGGAAGCATCCAGGCCCTGGAGTGGAAGAAAGGCAACCTACGTTTCCTTGCTTACTCACTATTTTAATCAGAACCTATTAAATGAGGTTAAATGAAAAAGAACTCTAGAATAACTCCTTACCAATATCAGATAAATTTGACTGATCATCATCAAAACCATCTAGGTACACTGAAAAAACCCCATCTTCCTAGGCTCCGCCTTGCAGCCACTAAAGCAAACCCATGTGGGGAGTGGGCCGCAGGTGAATTTGGATGATCATGTGGGGCTTGGGACCGCGGCTCTAGACACAGAAGTGGTGAATGCCGTACCCGTATACAGACACAGCCAAACATCGGTTCTTGGACATCTTAATTATCAACCAAGTTGTTCATGGAAAAAATGTCTCAGTTGTCTGACAAATCTTTGGGTCCCAAGGACCCTTCCATGCTGATACCTGTATAATCAGCCACGCATCTCTCAGGCAAAAAACAAAGGAGAGTGGGTTTTCAAACCAATTACTTTTTTGGAACAAATCACTTTTTGAACCATTTTCTGGAACAAATTAAGGTCAAGAACCAAGGTTCCACTGTATTTAATTTTTCAAGCTACTTTCCATCTCTATGACAAAAGCTATGTTTTGCTGATAGAGGGTAGCTGAAAGCTAGTAAGTTTTAAGACTATAACAGAAAAAAGTTGACTTTTAACAGATGTTTGCATATTTACATAGTGTGCAGTTTTTGGTGACGTAATTTCCAACACAGTGATAGATGACAAGGTACAGGCATGCCAGCTTTCTTTCTTAGAAATTCTGTGCAGGACATGGCAGCCAATGTGTTGGGTATTAACTGAGTGCCCCATCAGCAAAAGGTAGGACCTGGAGGCTTACAGGGAAGGATCTTTGAGAAGGCAGGTCAGGCACAAGTCATCCCCTTTCTATCTTGGGATCTATTTCAAAAACCAATTTAGGCTCTGGCTGGTGTGGCTCAGTGCTTGGCCGCTAGACTGTGAACCAAAAGGTGACCAGTTCCACTCCTGGCCAGGGCACATGCCTGGGTTGCGGGCCAGGTCTCCACTTGGGGGAGTGCGAGAGGCAGCTGGTCGATGTTTTACACATTGATGTCTCTCTCCCTCTCCCCCCTTCTAAAAAAATGAAATCGTAAAAAAATTGTGTTAAAGAAGAAAAAACAATTTAGTAAAAAATGGCCTCATCTCACAGAAAAATCTCTGGACCTACCAAGAATCTGAATCTCCACCCTAGGGAAGGCTCTTCCTTGGGGTGTGAGGGGATAGATCAGAAACTCTGGGCACCACTTTTATTTTTGTGAGGTACCTGATTGTTTCCCTGTTCCCCCAGAGAATGACGACGGGAACTATTAAAATGCAGCATCCCCTGAGCTTTATAGGAGTACATTCAGCAGGATGTTTTTGTTCTAATTCGTACTCGTCCAGCTAGGACTATACATGCTTGTAGGAAGTTACAAATTGCCTGCTAGTACTTTGCAGTGGGGATCCATTGTTTATAATTCATTTTCCTATTAAGCCTTGGCTGAGACAGGTGAGTATTACTCTCACTTTCTGAGACAACAGAGTGAAAAGAGCACTTGACTCGAAGAGACCTGGAGCCACATCCTGGCTCCGTCACTCACTGGTTTGGAACTGTGTAAGGCAACCTCCCTAAGCCTCAGTTTCCTCATTCACTATGAAGTCTCACTTACTAAAGCTGGAAAGGTTAAATGAGATACATTAATGACCACACATAAAATACCTGACAGGGTGTTAATCTGCTCTACACACAGCCTTCTCTATTCTGCCCCATGACTTCTCCCATATCATTTTCTTTTATCTTGTCAGTATCTTGTAATTCTTCTCTGTTATTTTCTGTTAATTTTATTTTTTAAAAATTTTATTTATTTTTAGAGAGAGAGGAATGGAGGGAGAAAGAGAGGGAGAGAAATATCGATTGGTTGCCTCTTGTTTGCATCCCGTCTGGGACCAGACCCACCACCCACGCATGTGCCCTGACCAGGAATTGAACTGGTGACCTTTCGCTTTGTGGACAACGACCAACCAACTGAGCCACACTGGTCAGGGCTCTGTCTGTTAACTTCAAATATCTCGTATGTACAACAAGACATAATTACTACCCAGAGCAGTTTACATGGTCTTGGTTTTCCTACTGAGACTAACAGTTTTCCTTCAAGACTGGTAACCTTGATTTGGCTACTGTTTCTGGATCAGAATGCCCAAGAAGACCTATCTCCAGAAATATAATAGAACCAGGTTGTTTCACTACAAACTTACCAATACCCATGATAGAGGGATCACATCCGGACACAAAATAGCCCACGATTCTTGCCAGTGGTGTGAAGTTATGCTTTTTAACAGCATCTTCGCTAGCAATGATAACAACTCCAGCACCATCAGACACACCCTTGGGAACAAAAGCAGAAGGTTGTCTAGGGGGTAAAGAATCCAGTGGATCCCAATCTGAACTAATGGAGCAGTGCGATCAGGATGACGGCAGTACCTGGGAAGGAAGGCCATGCCCTGTGCCACCCGTACTCTGGTGGGTTAAAGAGATTGCTAAATCTAGGCGCAGAACACCACCTCACTATGGGAAAACCGGAAGGAATGTCAAGGAAAAGTTTGTTTCCACATATGGGTAGACATAAGGAGAAATCTGATGAACTGTGTACATGAGGAAGAAGAAAAGTATGAGAACGGAGATAGTAAGCCAGGTAGATTTCCTTCTAACATTCTGAAAAGACTAAGAAATTGAAAGTATTATATAAGGGCCCTACCTAAAATATTCATATTTTGAACTACAAAAACTGAAATTAATAAAATATGAACTCTATTAGTTTAAGCTAAATGACTAAAGACTATCATGAAAGTATCTAAAAGATACTGCACGATTATTTTGCATTGAGCACATCAGTAAGAGCTCAAGACAGTTGGCAACGCTACCTACCGATGCGTTCCCGGCAGTAACGGTTCCTTCTTTCTTGAACACCGGAGGAAGCTTGGTTAACTGCTCCAGGGTCGTTTGGGGCCGAGCATGCTCATCTACCTGCATTGTCTGTTTTCCTTTCTTTGTCTTCACCTCAATTGGTGCCATCTCATTGTTAAAGTAGCCAGCATCATTAGCTGAAATAATTGAAAGGCTATCATAAGAATAGGGGGAAAAAAAGAAAACAGGGAAAAAAACTAAAACATATCTTTTAATTTAATTTCTGGTCTACCCTTTCCTCACAGTGTGCTTTAATATAGGCCTTTATTACTTACATAATGTACCTTGCCTGTTGGGGGATTTACTATATTGTCGTGCTTCTAGGCAGATGCAGTCTGCACCTTTTTATCTATTTATTACCTTTTTAAAAATTATTATTTTGATTTTATTTTCTTAACTATTCTTTTTTTTTTTTTTTTAAGAAGGCACTGCTGGAATCTTAGCAGTATTTGTCTATTATCTACACATGCAATGACATAAAGTGGATTTAACTGCCCTTTTTTAAACTTCTGTGGGTGCAATAAGAAGTAATCAAAAAGTTACCAAGTCGTACAACAATAATGTATTGCAACATACACTTAAAAGTTTAAGAGGGCAGCTCTCATGTTAAGTTTTCTTAGCACACTAAGAAAGTTACCAAGTTGCCCTTGTCACCAAGTGATCTATGCCTGAAATTTAGTGACAAGCAACATGAAGAAATCATATGAGTGATTACTGATATAGTTCTAAGTAAAACATCTTACCTACTTCCACCGCTAATGCCTACAGAGGACTACAGTAATCCAAAGCTTCAAAAATAGGATGTGTCAGGAGTAGTACCATCTTAACTTTGCTGGTGATTTACAGCAGGGTACACATTTCCCTTAGCTGGTTTTCACAGCAACTCTATTAGAAAAATTGGGATGGCAAATACTTTTTATCTCTAGCATATTTATCTCTATTTTACAGATGCTCAGTAAATAAATGACTTCACTGAGGTAAGATAACATGTATGTGGCAAAACTAGAAATAGAACTGATAACTTTTTACCTCTAGGCAACACTCTTCCGTTTTATGTAAATATGTAACTAAAAACACAGAAGATAAGATGGACGGCATCAGCTCCATTCCACTTATCCCTCCTATGTGCCAAGATGGACTTTATCCTCACTATTCTAAGTAAATAGTTAATACCCTAAATGAGAGTATCCATTTGTTTATGAGTTTAATTTTAAAAATCTTTTTCGGAAGACTAACAAATTTCAACCGACCATCCTGAGAGGAGAACTACTGTCCCGCTGCTCCTCTGAACCGGCGGGAGGGCAGTGCGCGGCCTCCGCCAGGGCGCGGGGCGGGCCTGGGCCTCGCGCTGGGCCTGCGCGTCCAGCGCAGTGATTCTCATTAGGATTGGGAGGGGGCGGCACAGAAGGACACCCAGTGGGCCTTCCAGACGCACCTTCCCCTCCTGTGAATACAGCAAGCCTTGTGGAGGAGGACACCCTTTCTGGCCCAGGAGCCATCGCCTCCAGCAGGGCGCGTCAGAGCCCTCAGAGCGCCTTACTGACAGCAGCGCCACGATGGGCAGGACCAACAAACAATGCCACTTTTTAAGGAGCACTGACATATTTATTTAAAAAGAAAAGTCCCCAGTTAATGTTGCAATCATTCATCGGATATCTAAAAAAGAAATGGCGCTTTCAAAAGGTTTAATTTTAAACTAATGTTATTATATGATCATTATCTGAAAAGAATCTTTCCTACAGTGTTTTAAATTGAGGTAAAATTGACACATAACATTACACTAGTTTCAGGTATAACAACATAAATCGATATTTGTCTCTACTGCAAAATGATCACAACAATAAGTCTAGTTAACATCCATCACCAGGAGAAAGTTACAAAAAACCGTTTTTTCTGTAATGAGAACTTTTAAGATCTATCTTAGCAACTGTCAAATATGCAGTACAGTATTAACTATAGTTACCATGAGGTACATTCTATACCCAGAACTGATTTATTTTATAACTAAACATTTGGACCTTTCGACTCTCTTCCCCCATTTCACTTATTCCCCCCACAACATAGTTCTTTTTGTTCCAAATATGTGTAATATCCACTTTCACTGACCAGCTTTCCACCTCTGCTGTGACTGCAGGGCGTATTTGTCACAGTCTTCTCTGCTTATGTTATGTTTTGAAGCAAGATTCTCTGCAGTAATTCCCATGGGGAGCTGGACATGCTGATCTGTTAATCCTGCCCACAAAGAATCTTCCAGCTATTAAAAGACATTAATAATAAAGTGATTTCTTAAAGCACATCCTTTGAGTGTAATATGCTATAATTTATTTAAATAATTAACAGTAAACAATAAACAAAAGTAAAATTAGGTTTTCTCATAGCATTATTACTACTACCATTAATATTTGGTTCTGGCACATTTAAAAAACATCCAGTGACATAATAAAATGACACATTCTCCTCTCTCTCTAAATGTGGGGTTCTAAAGAGTGCTGACAGTGTTGAATGTGCAGGGCGAGAACACAGGAAGTTATTCTACAATCAGAACCCCTCAAGGTTACATTTTGTAAGAGACCCCACACTGAGTCCTCACGCAACAGGTCCCTGCAGCCACCTCTGCAACCCACAGTCAGGAGCTCCGTAGGAAATGGCCCGTCTGCGCTCCTTTTTCATCCTGTGCCCTCAAGAGATAGGAACAGCGGATCCTATCCGTCCCTGCGCAGTGGGAAAGAACCTCGGACAGGCTTCCTGAGTAACAGAACGCTAAGGTCGTCATTTATTCTCCCGTTAGCCTCTGGTAAGTGTGCCTCATCCGTTTCTTCCACACTGCCTCACCTTTTGGGCCACTGACCTATCTTTCCAAAGGTTTCCTTAACTATATTGGGCATCTAAAACTATCTCATCTTTTCTAAGTCTTACTCCTTTCAACTTTCAAAAAGGCCAGGTGAGCAACTGGATGAACAGTGTAAATCAACAGAAAAATGCTAAGAATATAAAACACCATTAGCTCTTTAATATGGGAAGGAGAGCATACTATTTATCACTCTTTATCAGGACTATCATTCTTCTGTTGTAGCTTTCAAAGGTGAAAGGATCAGCTTTTATCTGACTGATATGGGACAATATACTCCATATTCAAAGAGAATGTTTTCTGTGATTAAGAAATCTATTCAATGGAGATTGCTCCAGAAATAAAACTTTCATAAATCATGGTAAAGATTTAATTACTTGGTTTACTAATTATTCAACCTTTGCCTATCTTTTGATCTGCTTTTCCCTTACTCCATTTCCCCAAAGTTTAATTCCACGACCAGAGGCGTGCTAAGATGCCTTAATTTTATGTGGCTTAAAATGTCAAAACTGACAACCAAAAGAGTTTTAAAATGCTTTACAAAATTCAAACCATTTATATCTTGCTAATCCTCTACTAACAGAATTGGTTTCAAAATTAGTTTTCTCTCCCTCAAAATGGTGATATTAAAATTATTAGTGTAATAGCTTGAGAAATAATTTTTAAAATTTTAATGGTTCCAACCTTGAGATCTGATCCAAACTTGGTTCCAAAACGCACATTCCGGACACAGTAGGGAGCCTGGCTCATGTTTTCAGTTCCTCCACACAATACAACTTCAGCATCTTTAACACAAATTTCCTATTTAAAAATAAATGAACAACAAAAAACCCTTTTATTGTGACAAAAGTTCATATTAAAAAGTATGTGTTAAGCAGTGAATTAACATTAAGTCTAATAACTATCCTTGCTTACAGTATTTTAAAAGGAAATACTTTAAAGTAATCTTAAAGCAAATGCTAAAGTATCCATCCTCAAAACACAAGGGGGAAAAAAAATTAACAGTCTTCAATCATTTGTGCACAGGTAACAAATCCTACCTGCTTTTGGCTAAGGAATGGTAATTCTTAACTCAATACAAATCTTAAAAATCTGCAGATATCGTCTGGCATAAATGTATAGACTGCCAGCAAATAATAAAGAACAAACCCTTTAAAAAGGCAAAAGGAAAATTTATTCTATTAATGGATGAATATGAAGGACACCACAGATTTAAAAGAACTGTTAAGCTAGGGGGCTCATAAAAAAAGAACCCATTTCATTCTTTCAACTCTTTCCAATATTTGGATTTCTCAGAAAAGAGGCAAATCACAAGCCTCCAAGAGCCTGATGTTTGAAATGATTGCTGGGAAAATCAGGATCACTATTCAAGATATATTGTTATAGAAGTAATTTATGCTTTATAAACTATCTGTATTTTTTAATTTTATAATGCTCAAAGGGACAAATCTATTTGCCCAATTATCCCTTAAAAAGGCCATAGTAGTTTGTACTTCTACTAACAGTATCACTTAGTTCCTTTTTATAAAATACATTTCTGGTCATCTAAATTCTCCAAGTCTCTTTCTGGTCTTACAGTCTTTACTCCGTGTTTCAAATTGCCTCACAGACATGGGTTTAAATTCTGCCTCTAAGACTGAGTATCTTTAATGCCTTTAATAATCAGTTTCCTTGCTTATAAAATGGGAGTAAAAACAGGCCTTGCCTCATAGAATAGTTGTGAAAATTAAGTGATATATAGAATGTAATGATTAGTCTCACATAAGCAATGTAATGAGTGTGAAGATTAGCTTCTTTAAAAATTGTGATTAAAAATACATACGATAATATTCACCACTTTAACCAATTTTAAGCACACAGTTCATTAAGTATATTCACATCACTGTGCAACTACCATCCCTCTCCAGAAGCCTTCACCTCCCCAAACTGAAACTCTGTCCCCATTAAACACTATCTCCCCCTCGTTGGCAACTACCACTCTACATTCTGCCTCTGTGGATTTGACTGCTCTTCATACAGTGTTTATCCTTTCGTGACTGGTTTGTTCCATTTAGCATAATATCTTCAATATTGGTTATTAGTTTTTAAGAAATGATTTCCTTTCTGTGAATATTTTCCCAAATATCAAATACTGACCTCTCTTAATAAACATAAATAAAAATGTACAGTGTTATATTAAGTGGGTCATTTTCTCTAATAGCTTTTAACACATTTCTGAGAATTAAATATAATTAATATTCGCCCATACCTGACATCCACTCACAACGGACTGGAAACCAGAGCCGCAGAGCCTATTAAGAGTGAGGGCCGGGATCTCTTTTGGGATACCCACACGCAGGCCGACATGCCTGGCCAGGTACGCAGCATCTGCAGAGCTCTGGGACAGAGGGAAAAGAGAAAGAACTTCCCCTAGAAATCCAGGAATTAAGGACAAAATATATGGAAATGTCAGCAATCTATCAAAAATTATAAACTATATGGCTGTAAGGTGGACCACAATGCATACAGGCACAGCATATTTCCTATAATAAATGTGTTTATGATTTAACTAAAAAACTATAATTTGGTCTATAGGTTTTTAAACCTACTAAGTAGGAGAATCCTTATATTATGTCATCAATAGAAGACAGAAATTTCTAACAGTACAACTGTGTAAAATGGAATCGGCCCCCTCAAAGTGGTACGTTCCGTAACAGACCAGCATCTGAGCCTGCACACGGGATGACCTGGAAAGCTTTGTTTACGAAACGATGCTCAAGCTCCTCACAAAACCAATTAAACCAGAAATGCTGAAGGCGGTGCACGGGCATCCGTGATTACAGTAGTCCCTGTTAATGGCAGTTTCGCTTTCTGCAGTTTCAGTTAACCATGATCAGCCGCAGCCTGAAAATATTAAATGAAAATTCCAGAAATAAACATAGTTTTAAATTGCACGCGACATCTCTCGCCTGTGACCTGAACTATGACTCTGTCCGGCGTCTCCACGCTGCGTTCGCTCCCCGCCCGTTGGTCACCCAGCGGCTGCCTGGACCGGCGGGCGGCGGGGTTGCAGGGCTTGCGTGCAAGCCCTGCTCAGGTGCTCAGTTTACTCATTAATGGCCTTCACGTGCGAGAGTAGTGATGCTGGCAACTCAGATATGCAAAGAAGCCATACAGTGCTTCCTTTAGGTAAAAAGGTAAAGTTTTTTACTCAATAAGGCAAGAAAAAATCGTATGCTGAAGTTACTGGGACCTACAGTAAGAACGAATCTTCATTCCATGAAACTGCGTAATTTATAACTTAAACTTGATCATAGGTATGTATGTATAGAAAAACACGTAGTATATGTAGGGTTCAGTACACTCTGCGGTTTCAGGCATCCACTGAGCATCTTGGAACATATCCCTTGAAAACAGCAGGGGACCCCTGTCCTTTAACAAAAAGATTTTATTGAATTTATTGGGGTAACATCGGTTAATAAAATTATATAGGTTGTAGGTGTACAAGTCTATAACACATGATCTGTACATTGTATTGTGCGCTCACCACTCCCCGTGAAGTCTCCTTCCATCACCATTTATCCCCCTTTACCCCCTCCTGCCTCCCCCCTTCCCTCTTGTAATCACATGCTGCTGTATCTGTGAGGTGTCTTTTCCCCCTTGCTCGCCTTTTTCATCCAGCCCCCAACCCTGGTCCCCTATGTCAGTCTGCTCTCTATCTTTTCAGTCTGTTTCTATTTTGTTTGTTAGTTTACTTTGTTCATTAGATTCCACGCATAAGCAAACCGAGGCTGAGGCCTGCTCACCTAGGGAGGGGACAGATGAACAACGAGTCAGGAGACTAAGAGGTGCCTCCTAAACTTAAAAATGCATACTGGAGCCTTCTGTTAAAACGGGGTTCTCCATCAATAGCTCTAGGACTGCATCAAATTCTGAATTTCTAGATATTTCCCTAATGAAGCAATGTTGCTGTTCCAAGGACCACACTTGGAATAAGAAGGAAAAGAAGTCACTTAAAAATAAAATAGCAACATTTAGTGTAGAGAGAGCTAAAGTAAATTTGATAAAATGTGAAGAATTGGCTCTCTAAGGTAAAAAGACCTTAGGGTGTTCACTGTCCTGTTATCTTTCTTTCTTTCTTTCTTTCTTTTTTTTTTTACTTTTTTGCTTGAGTTTGCTACACTCCTTAGGTGGGTAGAGAGAACTAATTACCTTCAAATAAGTCAAGGAAATTAATCTATTTAGAAGAAAAACATCGAATTATTTTGTTCGACTCCTAAAACCAATATAATGCTATATGTCAATTATACTTCAATACTTCTGGGAAAAAAAAAACAGCCAAAAATGAAATTTATCCCAAATTAGATAGATATATACTTTCCAGAATATATGCTCCTTTGAAGTATGCATGTCTTGCTTTTAGAATCAGAGGGTTACTCCAAGTATAAGTACCTTTAACTATTAACCGATCCACCATTAGGACAGATAAAGGAGTTCTTTTTTAAAAGTGGTAAAATAAAGCAACAGGAACGAACCCCACCCTCTGATCTACTAACCTGCATGACATTGCCTACAATGACGCTGTCGACAGTCTCAGGTGATACTTTGCCAGCAGACAAGGCCGCCCTGGCAGCGAATTCGGTCAAGTCGGTAGCTGTGAAGTCTTTCAGAAGACCCCCATACGCTCCAAACGGTGTCCGCTTAGCAGCGACGACAAATACACCTGTTGCAAGGAGGAGAGATTTGTAAGCAGTCATAGCTTAGTCGGTATCCCTTAACATGCTTTCAATAATCTCACTGTGAAACATTATTATAAAGTACAGTTTTCAATTAGATAATTGAAAATCTTTGCATATACCAGGTCTCCCCAAACTGAGCACTCACTTCCACATGGGTCTTATCAAGAAACCACGGAACTTTTAACAATGGATTTGTGCCCAGATATTGACCTGTAATTGAGACCATTCAAACTTATATCACTATTGGTATTTAAGTGTAATCCCCCTATTTATTTTGGTGATCTCTTTTTCATAGAACAAACTAACCCTACCCTAAAATTAAATCTCAGCTTCTCCTTTTCTTACGGTTGAGAAATTTACAGTCTAAAAGAATGTTAAGCACAACATACAGAAATATAATTTGGAAGAGATCTAGTTCTTTACAGCTACAATACTCAAATATTTATAAAAGACCATAAATATTAGTTTGGTGCATTATGGAGAGAGTAAAAAGATTAGTGGTTGCACGACGGTGGGAGGGGGGAGGAGGGATGAATAGGTGGAACACAAGGGAATTTCAGGGCAATAAAGCTACTTTTTATCCTACTGTAATGGTAGATACATGGCATTATATACATTTGTCAAAACCTATAAAATTGTACAACACACAAAGTGACCCTTAACATAAACTATTGACTTCAGTTAATAATAAAGTATCAGCATTAGCTCATCAATTGTAACAAATGTACCACACTAATTGTTAGGTGAAATGATTCTGGTACTTAAAGTGACTGAGGTGGGCTCCTATCACCTGAAGGCAATATTCTTGCATAGATAAGTGGGTCCATTAAGTTAATTACTGTTTTGGAGTGTACAGGTCTTACTAAGCCCATGCCATGAAACTCCAAGACACCTGTGTAAGCCCATGGCTTTGGCTACAAGCCACCTGTGTAAGCGCTCCTGCCACTTGGCTAAATATAACAAAGCCCCACCCCTTTCTTGGGTGTGGAGTTCCACCATCTCACTGCTAAGGTGCTGCTTCTGTCGGTAAGTTCCCTTAAACTCTCCACCTAATTTTGGAGTTGCTGCCTCCTTCCACAGTCTCTTAGCCTTGGATAACTTTCTCAAAACTAATGTAAAATGTTAATAATAGGAGATACTGGTGTGGGATAAGATATGACTATTGACTTAACAGAAACAATGAAGGTTAATTTCATGTGTTTCTCCATAAATGTCCTTTCATGAGTTTCTCCCTGTGCTTCAAATCTAAGAGGGCATTTTTGTGTGGGAAGGTACTAACGGTGAAATATGAGCTATCTACAAAAGAGCATGAGTGGGAAAATAACAATGAAAGTGAGATCTGCCCCTTATATCACTTCTGCTTACTTGTGCTTCCAGACTGTAAAGGTTAGCCTGAGTAAGACTAATATTGAAATATGATTATTTTGAATGGGAAAATGCTATCAAATATAGTTTTAAAATAATCTGGAATGTGTAGGTATAAAGACTAAACAATTTAAAGGATTGTTTTTCTTGTAATTTCATAATCTGGATATCATATCAATGATTATTTGATTTGATGCCAATTTTACGTGGTTGATAAAAGGTCTAAAATGTAACCACCTTTAACACCAAACTAAAATCTTCTTTATTTTAAAAGGCCTTTGCTCCGGCCTGGTGGCTCAGTTGGTTGGAGCTTAAGGGGACTGGAGGTTCGATTCCCTCTGGGCGTACATTTCTCTTTCACATCAATGTTTCTCTTTCACATCAATGTTTCTCTTTCTCTCTCCACCCCCCTCTAAAATCAATAAAACATCCTGGGATGAAGATTTTTTAAAAAAAGCTTGAAAATTCATAAAGATTTCCAAAAACTGAAAGACAGCACAAAGACATTAGAGTACAGTGGGTCTAAAACATCAGGAAAGGGCCTGACAAGGGGGCTAGTGTGGCCGCAGAGAAAAAAACAACACTAGAAGAGAAACAGAATTCTGCCTGCCTTTTTATAAAATTGTTAGATAAATATTGATTTGTAATTAGAGCAACTGCAGACAGCAACTAAGACAAATGAAGGAAAACCGCTACTTATTGCATCCATTTCAGTTTCAGGATTAAAGTACTGGGTTGGCCAAAGAGTTCTTTGGTTTTTTCCAAGAGGGTTCTAGTGGTGCTTAGTTGTCTTTAACTTCATTCCAAACGGTTTTGTTAGATTGTATTGTGACAGCTGTCATAACAGCGTGCATTTAAAAAGAGACCTTATCAAAGCTGGTGAATTTTTGTGTAGCCATTTTAATATTAAAGATGGAAGAAAATGTACATTTCAGTGTATTATGCTTTATTATTTCAAAGAAGGAAAAAATGCCGCTGAAAGGCAAAAAAAAAAAAAAAAAGATTTGCGCAGTGTATGGAGAAGATGTTGTGACTGACTGAACATGTCAAAAGGGGTTTGAGAAGTTTCTTGTTACTGCTGACATTTTGGCCAAATAATTCTTTGCTGTGGGGCTGTCTTACGCATTGGAAGGTGTTTAGCAGCACCCCTGGCCTCCACCCAGTAGAAGCCAACAGTGGGAGACAGCTGATATACTCAAAACACCCAAATCAATAAAGTTATTGGTAAAAATGAAGAGTGTGTCTTTTATTTTATGGAAAAAACTAAATGGACTTTTTGGCCAACCCAATAATTTGGCAGCCCTGCCTAACTGCCTGGAGGCGCCACGCAGGCATTCCTAACAAAGCTAATGAGCAGTAAGAGAACAAACAGTTGTTAGGTGCAACCCCCTACCAAACTCGGGGATGGGCATTAGTAAAAAACGGGGATTGGTCCTTGTGGAGCATAACCTGGTAAGTTCAGTCATGCTCCCATTCAGATGTGTCCTTTTCCCTACAATAATCAGTCACATGTTCTCTCTTACCCACTAGTACCGCAAGCAGCTGGCCTGCTACTAGAGAGAAGTGCGCATCTGTGATGGATTCTATCTAGCCAATAACAATTGCTAGTTAAAGCTTAAGGCTTGGGTTGTAGTCACAGCCACTAATTTCCTGCATCCTTATAGACAAGATATTTTAACTTTCTGGATATCAGCATCCTCATCTGTTAAACAGGAAAATGGGCAAAAATATGATCACTAGTTCTAACACCATAGTAAACTGTATCACAAATTTATATACTTATATTTCCTTAATACAGGTATTTCCCTTACTGGGCTTTTCAGAGGGGTCTGTATTATAAGAAAAGAGTAAGAAACTACTAATTGCTACACAGATAAGTCATAAAAAAGATTTTTGTTTTAAAGATGCTCATTACAATGCAGTTTTAAGTGAATTGGGTTTTTTTGAACACCTTGTCCAAAAAAAAAAGTTAATGTGCTGTTTTACCAATTAAATATAGTAAATTCAGAGTTGGAAAGACAGTCATTGGACAAGTTACACCCAATTGTAGGAAATAGGATACATTACATTGCATCTCAATACCAGTTTTTCACTTGAACTGTGCACATGCCATTTTGGCTCTTCTGCGCTAGAATCCCCTGTCCCACGGCCTACCTAACGTCTCCACCTGAGTGCCTAAATCTTCCCTTCCAAATCTATTCTTTCCCTAGCTTTACTCACTCTGTAAGAGGTACCATTATGAACATAATTCTTCAAACCACAACCTAAAGTCACTCTTGATACTCCCTTCTCTTCACCTGCCACCTATCCCTATCACCAAGTTGTATCAAATCCATCTCCAAATCTATCTCCTCACCCCTCCCTCTTTTCCCCTAACTCCTTTGCAACCTCCCCTTCCCCCAGTCGGATTGAAACTATCATCTGTTGTGGCTTGTTCCTCTGCAACGGATTCTTAAATGGTCTTAAATTCTTCTGGCAGTTTCCACTCTGCCCTGCTCAGGAAATCCGGGCAGAGTGGAAATCAGGTTCTGTTATTTCCCTACTTGGAAGTTTTCTTTTGCTTCCCCCTGAATTTAGAATAAAACCCACTTCCAGGCTTCACAGGTCCTACCGGGCTCTGACCGCCGCAATGCTGGTTCTCAGATCCTGTTTAGCGTTTCCCTGCCTCGGGGCCTTGGTCTATCAAGTGGGCTACATGAATGTTCTTTGAAGGACACAGAAAATAAGGATAACCTTTCATATCCTTAAAACTAAAATTCCGTTGAGTGCGACCATTTGTTATGTAAAGGTGGGTTTATATAATTTTTTTAAAAGTTAATAACCCTAGAATTTATGTACTTAAGTGACTGCACTTTCTGGGAGTCACTCAAAGAAATGGAAGGGAAAGGTAGTTAAGGCAGGTCTTGCAACAGAACGCCACCAAGCATTTTAGGGGAACAGGTCGCTCAGGCGACTGAAAGCGAATGCCCCGCAAACCCGACCCACGCCGGGACCGAGGCCGCGGCCACCTTACTCCTCTGCGACGCACCCCGCCCCGCCATCCCAGGCTGCCTCGGGTCCAGGGCCCCGCTCATTTTCCAAGGGATGACCTCGAACTGGGTGGGTCACAACCGCACCAAGCAGGGGAATGACCTCCAATCAGAAGCGAGCAAACCGTGGTCTCAAGTCCCAAATGCAAACTGCACTGAAGTCACTGTCGGTAGTGCCTTACAAGTATGTAAAAGTATGTTTTCACCTTAAACAATTTTGGGTTGGGTGTTTTTAAGTCCCCTTTATTGCTGATGAGACTTAACTGTAAACCCAGGACCCCCAACGCCCCGCTGAGACCGGACGCGAAATCGCGCTTCAGGAGGGCAAGACAGACAGGGGCGAGGAGAGGCGGGATGAGAGGCTCACCTCGGAGAAGAGCCATGACGGCGGTGAGAGCCGGCAGCACAGAGTATCGCCTCGGTGAAGCCGAATGGCGGTGGCCGTCTCCCGGACTTTAAGAGCAGGGGGCGGCGCCTGCGAGGTCACATCCCCTGCCCTTTCACCTACTTCCGCTCCGTGAGGCTCCAGCCTGCCTGGTCCCCCAGGGTGGGGAACCCTCCACCCCCACCCTCGCTCCCGCCATCTCAAGCGCGTTCCTGTCGAGTTGGTTTTTCTCCTCACATCATCGTTTTTGAAGACTTCATCAGTTTACAAATCGAGAGAATGATTTGACTCTACCCTATCCATCCTATCCCTGGCCTCTATAAAGAACCCCACCCCGGCCCCTCAACAGGTCATTAATGTTTCCTTTCGTTCCACCTGCGAATTTTTTTTTAAGCATTTATTTTTTTTATCTTTAGAGAGGGGAAGGGAGGGGAAAGGAGAGGGAGAGAAACATCCATATGTGGTTGCCTCTCCCGCGTCCCCTTCTGGGGACCTGGCCCGCAACCCAGGCACATGCTCTCACTGGGAATCGAACTGGGAGGGTTCGCAAGTGGGCACTCAATCCACCGACCCACACCAGCCAGGGCTGCCTGCCAATTTGCTTAAACGTTGGACTAGACAGACAGATGGACACTACCGTGGAAAATGTGGGTTTGAGGGAGATGGGGGCCCCCCCGGCGTGCGGGCCGGAAGTGCGTGGGCGGGGCCGGAGGACGGCAGTGGGGGTGGGGTTAGTTGAACAGTTGAACGCTCCGGGCTGGGGTGGTCCTGTGAGCAGACAACGGGTAGAGGCCCAGGTAGCTCGGGCAGGGCAGTCGGTGGGTCGCAGAGTGGGCGCGGGGAGGGTCGTAGAGCAGGGGTGCCCCTGGTCCCGGTTGCAGCCCCCGGATGAGCCCACAGTATTTTCCTTATATGATTGGGCCCTGCGGCTGGCAGCGCGCTAGCCCAGAGCCTAAAAGGATTATGAAACCGCGTCAGGCTAAGCGGGGCGCGGAACCGGGGCGGGGAGATGAGGTGAGGAGCAACGGGTTAGGCTAGAGATGGGGACAAGCGGGGGCGCGGGGTGGGGGGCGCGTTTAGGGAGGCCTCTTCCGCCGTAACTGTGAGCCCTGGTCGATGATGACGAGACCACTGCGCAATCTGAGTTCTGGAAACCAGGTGATGGAGTGTGTTCTGAAAGCAGACTGAGACCGGGCAAGCGGGAGGCGACTCGAGCAGAGATGCGGTAGATGCGCATCGCGGGGGCTGGAGTCTGAGGGAGGCCGCTCAGGCTCTGGTTCGCGGGGGGTGGGGGGCCTTGAGATTTTCTGTGGGCCTCAGAGAATGCCTGCCCCGGAACCCCGCTTTTCAAACGACTTGGTGGCCCGCTCGCATTGTGTTTGTTTTCTGATTCCATTATGTTTTACTATGAAAACTTTTGAAAGTATAGAAAGTGAAAAGACTTTTACGAAGAACACCCATATACCCAGCACCTATATTCTACAATTGTTAACATTTTGCCATATTTGCTGTATCACATCCCTCCATCTGTTCTATCAAACCATCTTATTTTTTTTATGCAGATCTTAGTACACTTCACCCACATTTTAGAGGTCAATATTTACTTAGAGCTCTTTTTTAAGGAAAAATTCTCATGCAATCAAATGTACAAATCTTTAATTGGGTGAGTTTCACAAATGTATACACTTTTAAAATACATTTTATTGATTATTTTAGAGTTGTTCTGATTTTTTCCCCCTTTAACCCCCTCCACCCAGCACCCCCCACTCCCTAAGGTAATCCCTCCACTATTGTTCATGTCCATGGGTCATGTGTATAAATTCTTTGGCTGCTCCATTTCGTATACTGTACTTTACATCCCCATGGCTATTCTGTAACTACCTATTTGTACTTAATCCCCACACACTGTTCCCACCTGGCAACCACTAGAACGGGCTCTCTCTCTCCATGATCCTGTCCTTTTTTGCTTAGTTTGTCTTTTTAGATTCAATTGTTTATAGATATCAATTTACCGCCATTTTACTGTTCATAGGTTTGAGCTTCTTTTTCTTAAGTCCTCTTAACATTTCACATAATAAAGGTTTGGTGATGATGAACTCCTTTAGCTTTTTTTTGGTCTGGGAAGCTCTTTCTCTGCCCTCCAGTTGTAAATGATAGCTTTGCTGGATAGAGAAATCTTGGCCGTAGGTCCCTGCTTTTCATGACTTTGAATGTTTCTTGCCATCCCTTCCAGCCTACGGAAGTTTCTTTTTGAGAACTCAGCTGACAGCCTATGGGAACTCCCCTGGAGGTAACGAACTGCTTTTCTCTTGCAGCTTTGAAGATTATTTTTAACCTTTGTCATTTTAATTATGATTTGTCTTGGAGGGGGCCTCTTTTTATCTCTCTTTCTTAGGACTCTGTGCTTCCTGGATTTGCATGTCTATTGCCTTTGCCAAATTAGGGAAGTTTTCTTTCATTATTTTTTCAAATGGATTTCCAATTTCTTGCTCTTTTCCTTCTGGCACCTCTATGATGTGAATGTTGGACCTTTTGAAGTTATCCCAGAGGCTGCTTATGCTATTGTCATTTTTTTTTTGGATTCTTTTTTTTCTTGTTCTGATTGGTTGTTTTTTGCTTCCTTATGTTCCAAGTCATTGATTTGATTCTCTCCTTCATCCACTCAACTGTTGTTTCCCTGTAAATTGTTCTTTATATCAATTAGTATATCCTTCATTTCTGGCTGGGTCTTTTTTTATGCTGCACAAGTCCTCATTAAGTTCCTCGAGTATACTTATAACCAGTGTTTTGAACCCTGCATCTGAGAGATTGCTTATCTCCATTTCATTTAATTCTTTTTCTGGAGTTCTGATCTGTTGTTTCATTTGGGCCATGTTTCTTTGTCTCCTCATTTTGACAGCCTCCCTGTGCCCCTGTGTTTGTTTCTATGTATTAGGGAGAGCTTCTTTGACTCTCTGTCTTGGTAGTGTGGTCTAATGTAGGTGTCCTGTAGGATCCAGTGGCACAGCCTCACCTATCACCCAAGCTGGGTACTTGAGGTGTACCCTTTGTGTGGGCTGAGTACACTTTCCTCTTGTAGTTGAGCCTGGGTTGCTGTTGGCAGGTCAATGGGAGGGATTTACCTAGCTAGTCAGCTGCAAAGACTGGCTGTGACCACTGACCACCAACCTCTACTGCTCGTGGAGGATCAGCTGTACAGGGGCAGGATGGTGGTGTTCCGATGAGGTCTGTAGCTGCCCACTGGGTGCACTGGCCCTGGGGTTTCCCAGGTGGTGCCGGCCAAAGTCAGCCCCCACCTGTGTCTTGCCCAGGGCCACCCTACCTGAGCTGTAAAGCAATCTGAGATGGCTGCTACTTGTGCTGGGCTTACAGATTCCCAGGTTGAAGCCAAGCTGTGAATCTACGCTGGCTGCTGCTAGTGCCGGGCCTGGGGCTCACTGAGGCCAGCTGTCGCTTACTTAAGAGGATTTAGGAAGTTATGCAGTATGAGCCAAGATCAGTCATTCATATGGAAAAACAGCTTGGGTGGACCCCTAAGTTGGGTGGGGCAGAGTGTCTGGGGATCTCCACGGCAGGTCAAACAGTGTTAGCCGGGTTGTGGAGTCTCACGTATGGCACAAGCTTGCTGGCTCTGTGGCTCTGTCGGGGGAGGCTTCAGAAAACGGACAATGGCCTCTGGTGGCATTGATGTCAGACACTTTAGTTTCTCCCAGTGTGCTGCTGGTGACTTTCAAGTTGCTATCCTGGTGCTGGAGAGCAAAGGAAGTGAGTTTGAGTAGGTGAGTCCATATGCGGGTTCTTTAGAAGAACTGCTTGGGACTCCAGAAGTTTCTTCCACTGACTAAATCCCCACTGGTTTTTGTAGCCAAAAGTTGTGGGGATTTATCTGTCACTGGAACCCTGGCTGGGGGGTCTGATGTGGGGCTGGGACCCCTCACTCCTCCTGAATTTTTTTCACCACACATGGGTGTGGCACCAGCCCCTTCTACATCTGCACCCCTCCTACCAGTATAGATGGATGTGGTTTCTTTAATTCTGCAGTTGTCAGACTTCTATTCCACTCTATTTCTGACAGTTCTGTGTGATGGTTGTTCTATGTTTTAGTTGTATTTTTGATGTTGTGCGAAGAGGCAAGCCATGTCTGCCTGCGCTGCCATCTTGACCAGAAGTCAAATGTCTATACTCTTGTAGCCAAAACCGCTATCGGTTATCAAAATACAATTAGAGCATTTCCATCATACAGAATATTCTTTCATATCCGTCCCACCTTCCACCTCCCAGTCAATCATTGTTTGTTTTTCTCATCATCTCTTATAATTTGACCCTCTGATTTACATTTTTTTCTCTTTCTGTTGCTTTGATTGAACCCTGAACTTTGGCAGTCAATTCAGTACATAAGTTCTGAGGGGTATTAAACTTTAAAAAATAGGTGTGCTCCCTTTTCCATAAGTGTATATAATCAACGCAATTTGGACTTTGAGTGGATCAAAGCTTACCACAAACTTGATGGTGATCTTTTTTCACCTGCATCTTCTGGATGATGAACAGGGAATAATAATAAAATAAAAGTTATCATTTTTGGACACTGTGTACTCAGCATTGTGTCACACACTTAACATGCACAGTGTATAATTTTTAAATCCAAATTGAAGAACATTCTGCAGCCCAATGAATAGGTTTTCCTTTTTCATTTTATAAGTGAGGAAGGTTAGGCCCAGAGAAACCAAAGAATTCCCAAGGCTTCAAGTCTAGAAAATGGTTCTATTAGAATTTGAGACTTTGATTCTCAGATTTTCAGAAGTTATGTGGGCCGGGCATGCAGTAAGTATTAGGGGTTAATGAATGGTTTTGTTTGTAACAGTAGCCCAGAACTACAGTTGGGTTTGTCAACGTAAAAAACATTCGAACGTATAGAGAATTTTTGGTGAGTTTATTTGAGCCAAACTGACAATTGCAGGGAAGAAAATCTCAACAAATTGAGAAATGCTCCCAAGAACGGCAGTTTAGCACCTTATTTTATACATTACAATCAAAAGTGGAGGTGGAAGGGGGTTACATGAAACCCATTGATAATAAATTAGGGAGGTGAGCGAAAGCAAGGGTGAGGGAACCTCCGTGACTGGATAAAGGGGAAAATGATAGACTCACACTTCACACAGGTGGGTATAGGGTAGTTAACAATGAGCATGAGAGCAATAACAGTGAGGGGGTTCGTGGTCTCCCCCTGGTACATGCAGTGCCTGTGCTTCGAGGGGTCTGGGAAAAAAATTTGACATCCCAAAGATATGTTACCATAGATGCAAAACGACAACAGACGGGCTAAGTTAGTAGCTGCTGACCTTTGTTAGGGGACAGTCCCAGACTAGGACATGATGAGCAACCATAAACTGCTTTTAGTTAATAAGTTTTAATTTCAGGCCGTCCTGCATGTTTACTATTAGTGTCTGAGTTTGTAAGGTCAGTTGTGTCTTGTGACACCCTGCTAACTCAACTTGCTCCCTTTGCTTGGGCCAAAATGGGCTGCAGACAGTTTGGCTGGGAAAACGCTGCTGCAATCTTGCTGGTAGGCCAGAGCCTCTGGATCCAGCCCACCCCCACCCCATTGAGGTAGAAGGTAAATAAGAGTGCTCGCGGGCACCTCCAGTCCTGGAGAGCGCTCAGGATTTCCCAGCCTTGTCCATTCAGTCTCCTTCCTTTGTCGCCCAGAGGCTGTTCAGTCAGCCTTTAGTGTCTCTCAGGAGGAAAGGCCCCCAGTATAGTTGTATATTTCAGTGTGCTCGCGAGGGGAGCAGGTTTAGCGTCCTCCTACACTGTCATCTGGAACCTCCTCATTACATCCCCCTTCATCAAGAAGGACAGTCTGTTCCGCCTGCTTCATTGGTCAGAATTGAGTTGCGTGCGCGTGCCACAGCTGCAGACGTGCCTGGGAGATCAGGCGTCTGGCTTTCCAGCGTCTGTCTTAAAAGTGGGCTCTGCTGGGAAGGGTAGAAGCTGGAAAAGACT